CCTAACTGGGAATTGAACCACCGACCCTTGGGTTCCCAGGCCGGCACTCAGTCCACTGAGCCACAGCAGCCAGGGCCTAGCGACATTTTACGTGCACAACACCACGTTGTTAACTACAGCTACTACCTCCTAGGTTGCCCCAAATCTCTTCATGCTGCACTCTACACACTGTGGACAGGTGGGCCGACGTCACTGAGGAGCCGGAGGTGGCGACCGAGTCAGTAACGTCGGAAGGGTCATCGCCCAGCTGGTTCTGCAGGCACACAGGGCCACCGCCCTCTGCCCCGGCACCTGCGGGCTGTGTCCTGGGAAAGGGCAGTGGCCGGGAGATGCCCCAACGTGAAGGGTTCGGACGGGGAGCCTGTCAGTCATCCAGACCTTCCCGGGTCCCGCCCCAGGCCTCATGGAGCAAAACAGGGCGCCTGTCACCAAGGCTCGGAAAAGCTCAAGATCTGAAGCCACGAAAGGGAATGAAACACCACAGCAACGTGGTTCACGGTGAAACAGGAACCAAGAACCCGCTTAACTGGAGAAATGACAGGAACCGAGCTGCCGTTTTCCACCCGGACAGCCTGTCCCGGGCCCACCATTGCTGAGGTCTTTTTGGGCCTCCTGCCACTGGGACCCAGCCCAGCCTGCCTGCACCCCAATGCGGTTGTGAACAGTCCAGGGACCCCTGTCAGTGGCGTGCTGGGTGCCCTGATGGTGGGTGCTGGTGTGGCTCAGCAGCCTGTCACCTGGGTGCCTCCCGCATCTCCAAGCCCCCACCTGGAGGCCCAGCATGCCCTCAGGAGCAGGGGGACCACAGGGGCCGAGGGCATTGCACAGCTTGAACTGGGGGCGCTGAGGTCTGGGGCTGTCTCAGAAGAGCTGGCCTCTCACTTCCCCCAGCCAGGGGGACACACCCGTGCAGGGTGTGTCCTGAGGGAAGGTTGCCCCAGACTGTCAGGAATCCGTGGGTCCCGGGGAACCAGCCGTTTGACGCCCCCGTATACCGCAGTGAAGCCAGGGACTCGGTGGGCAGGGCCGCCAGGGCTGCTCACCCAACCCTCCCGGCCAATAAAGGTGTCCTGACGCCCAAATGCGCGGTTTGCCCGCCGTGAAGAACGCCGTCGTAAAATCCCGGTCCTGCCCTGGCTGGTGTAGCTCACTGGATTGAGCGCGGGCTGTGAACCACTGTCGTAGGTTTGTTTCCCAGCCAGGGCACATGCCTGGGTTGCAGGGCATAACCCCCAGCAACCACACATTGATGTTTCTCTCTCTATCTCCCTCCATTCCTTCTCTAAAAATAAATAAATAAAATATTTTAAAAAGTTGCTATTTAAATACAAAAAATCCCGGTCCTTTCCTGTGAGCCGCGTCCCCCGGGCTTCCGAGGCCCCATTTTCCTAAGTGCCCAGGTCGGGCTCCCTCCGCCCACCCCCGGATGACACCCGGCCAGGCGGAGGACCAAGTACCCCTCACGCTCGGCCTGTCCCCGAGGTCCAGCTGGGGCAGCAGGGCGAGGCCCGGAGGGGGCCACATGGGACCATCACGGGTAGAGGCGCAAGAGGACCCTGGCACAGCCCAAGGGGCGGCTGAGGCTGGGCAGGCGATGGTCTCCGGGGCAGGGCCTCAATCCCAAAAGAATGTCCCGAGCTCAGGCCCAGTCTGCTGGGGACAGGTGGTCTTCCCTCCGCCTCAGAGGCGGGCGTCTACCCTGAGTCTCTGGCCACACCGGGCCCAGAGGGCAGCCCACCAAGACCCCGGAGGACTCAGGCCCAACAGGACTGGGGTGACCCCTGTCTGACCCGGGGGCCAGCCCCTCCGGCTGGGGTCACCCCTCGAACGCCCTGTTGTCAGCACTCACCCTGCTCCTGGGAGCGACCCACCGTCCTAGTAATCCTGGACCCCAAACCACAGGGACTCATTCCCAGAATCTGGTGCGCTTGGTGGGACTGACAGTCCTGCCCCACCCCACCCCGCCCCGGATTGCCTAGGGAACAGGTCCGGTCGCTGGGCAACTGCCTCAGGCTTCAACACCACCGTCCCGCGGCATGCTGGGAGTTGGGGTGTACAGGTGGATGTGGCCGGCGCACTGGAGCCTTGTCCCTGGGATCACGCAGGGTGCTGGGGAGGACAGTCCCTCGATGAGGCCCCGCACAGGGCGAGGGGCAGAGGTCGAAGTCCCTCTGCGGAGACGCAGGCCTCAGGGACAGGTCATCTCGTGCATGGGTGTTGAAGTCAGCATGACCCCCGTGGTGTGGGGACAACCCCCAGCCAGATGGTCAGAGATCCGCCCCGGGGCTGCAATGGGCTGGCTCCGACGGAAGACCAGTTCCAAGCAGGCTGAGAGGAAGGGACTGGGGGTGGACGGGGCGTGCGCTCCAGGCCGAGTGCACTGTCCTGCGAGTGACCCCAGGAGAAGGCAAGATGCAGACAAACTCAGCGTGACCACGGGACCCATGCAGCAATGCCAGCAAGAGTTTGGGACTTGAGGTGCGGGCTGGGGCTGGCAGTTCCCCTAAACAAATCAGGAATGGCAGAGACCCTCCCCAGGGTGGGGTAAGGGTGGGTGGCGAGGAGGGTGGAGGCCAGATCTGTGCTCCCACTCCCAATCCAGCTGCAGTGGAGGAGCCTGGACTCGGGGAGGCCGGAGGGGAGCCAGAGTGGACAGAAGCTGAGTCAGTGACGGGCAGCAGCGTGGAGGGAGGCGGGGCCTAGGGGGCTGGGCATACAGGTCTGGGAGGGACAGGGGACCCTCACACCCTGGGGCGGGGGGGACTCGGGAGGAGATGCCTGTGGGGATGACGCCCAAGGGTCTGGGACGGCACAGGCTGGCTGGAGTGGCATGGACTTCGCCGAGGGACTGCGTGGGAGCTGAAGGTAGTCGGTGCCCCACGGGAGTGCGGGGCCCCGGGTGAGCACCTCCAAGGGCGGGTGCTGCTCGGGGTGAGTGAGGAGGGGGCAGGGCGGGCGCGTTCTCAGGGGAGCGCTGGACGGACGGTGCTGTCACTCCCAGGGACAGAGGCCCCGGGGACACCACAACCCGGACAAGAGGCCACTCCGGCCTTTGGTCCCCGATTCGGGGCCCTGCACCCACAAACCACACCCCCGGCTCCCCTGACTCTCTGTGCACCACGTCCCCTTCCCAGGACAACACACCCGAAGTTGTCCCCACACCAGGAATGAGAGGCAACACCATTTAGAATATAAATTTTGAGACTTCCAGCAACATGGAGGCATAGGTGGACGCACCGTACCTCCACGCACAACCAAGATTGGAACAACAACAATTTAGAGGCAGAATAACACCCAGAACTGACAGAGAATGTATCTGAATGGAAGTCGGACAGCCAAGAAGGTGAAGCAGACCCGTTCATCCAGACCGGTGGGACCCGCGGAGACAGGCAGCAGCCGGCACCGGTCGAGCAGCGCGGAGAACGGGGCGAACCGGGCGCAGCGGGCAACGGGGAGCGCGTGAGCCATCCCTAGGCCATCCGGGGTGCGCGGATTCGCAGCGGGTGGGCCCTGAGTCCGAAAGCCGCAACTGGCGGACCCAGTGAGGCTGCGATTGTGAACCAGGGCAGAGCGCGCAGCCCAGGATCCCAGGGAGGGGACTGGGATCCCGGGAGGAGTAGAGCTACCGCCATTGTTCCCTCCTACCCCCCACCCCCCACATACATCGTCACAATCTAGCGACTGGGGAGCCCAGCCCCGAGTGGACACCTAAGGCTCCGCCCCTCACTGTCACAGGAGCGACTTGTCTCAAACAGAAAAACAGATCAATGCCCCAGGGATCATCCTATTGAGCGACCAAGAGATAGTCAACCTGTCAGATGCACAGGTCAAAACACTGGTGATCAGGAAGCTCACGGAATTCGTTGATTTTGGGCGCAAGTTACATGAAGAAATGCAAGTTACCATAAAAGAGATGAAGGAAGATGCACGGAAATCCAATAGGGATGGGAAGGAAACTGGGACTCAGAACAATAGAGTAGACCAGAAGGAAGAAGAAAACCAAACAAGCAGGAAAGAATGAAGAAATAAGAATTGAAAAAAACGAGGAGAAGCTTAGGAACCTCCAGGACATCTTTAAGCGTTCCAACATCCGAATTATACGGGTACTAGAAGGGGAAGAGGAAAAGCAACAGATTGAGCACGTATTTGAATAAATAAAAAGGAGAACTTCCCCAGTGTGGCTAAAGAAATAGACTTCCAGGAAATCCGGGAAGTTCAGAGGGCCCCAAAGAAGTTGGACCCAAGAAGAAACACACCAAGGCACATCATAATTACATTAGCCAAGGTAAAAATGAAGGAGAGAACCCTAGAAGCAGCAAGAGATAAGGGGACAGTCACCTACAAAGGAGTTCCCATCAGACTGTCAGCTGATTTCTCAAAAGAGACCTTGCAGGCAAGAAGGGGCTGGAAAGAAGTATTCCAAGTCATGAAAGGCAAGGACCTACATCCCAGTTTACTCTACCCAGCAAAGCTCTCATTTAGAATGGAAGGGCAGATAAAGTGCTTCTCAGATAAGGTCAAGTTAAAAGAATTCTTCATCAACAAGCCCTTGTTTTATGAAATGCTAAAGGGACTTATCTAAGAAAAGAAGATAAAGAAAAAACATCTATAGTAAAAGGACAGCAAACTCACAATTATTAACAACCACACCTAAAGCAAAACCAAAAGAAACGAACCAAACAACTAGAACAGGAACAGAACCACAGAAATGGAGATCACATGGAGGGTTAGCAACAGGGGAGTGGGAGGAGGAGAGAGGGGGAAAAGGTACGGAGAATAAGTAGCGTAGAATGTAGGTTGAAAACAGATAGGGGGAGGGTAAGGATAGTACGGGAAATCTAGAAGCTAAAGAACTTATAAGTATGACACATGGACATGAACTAAAGGGGGGGAATGTGGGTGGGAGAGGGGGGTACAGGGTGGAGGGGAGTGAAGGGGGGAAATGGGACAACTGTAATAGCATAATCAATAAAATATATTTTAAAAAAACTTTAAAAAAATAAAAAAATATATAAATTTTACTGGGTAAAAAAATATGTACAAACACGTGAACACACTATGTAAGAGAAATGTTAACACATAAAGAAAACTGGAAGAGCACATATGCTGAATTGTCTAGAGAACTGTACAAAGGCATTTAAACCTGGCATGAGACTGTCCCCATGCCCCACCCCAGCTAACCTAGTGACAGCTGAGTGGCCACTAGTTTATCTGTCATGGACTGACTTGTGTCACCCAGGTATGGCGCTCCCAAGTAGAAGCCGGGGGACATCGCAGTGCCTGGGAAACCAAGGAGTGAGCTGCTGGGGTCACACGCGTGACCAGCCAGCCCTCCTGGCCTCTGTTTCTGGAGGAGGCCATAGCTCGTGGGCCCACCGAGCACAGCCAGTGGGTCCCTTTCCAAGCAGCTCAGGGTCCCCCGAGGGGCAGCCTGTAGGCCACATGGGCTGCAGGCAGAGGGTACCCTACCTTGCATGGTCCTCCCCGTCGGAAGCTTCCCGAAGAAGCTCCTTGGACACGGAAGGGGCTCCGTCCCACCTGGGATCTGTGAAGGCGCCCACGGGAAGGGACCTGGGGAAGGTCAGCACCCAGGATGCTGCTAAGTCCCAGTCGTTGCTGGAAGAGCTGACTCCAGTTCGGGGCTCTGCGTCCTCACGACCTAAGACACCTTCCGCACCAGCTCGTTGGTAACATTCTCCAGACGCTCCCGCAGCCGCATCTCACGGAGGGCCGCCACGAGCCCGCAGGGGGACGCGGCGCGCCCCAGCTCGCTCTGCCAGCGCGGCAGCATCCTGTGGTGCTGCTCCGCCAGGGTCCCCGGGTCCTCGTGCTCACAGATGACAAGGTCGTTCTCCTCCAGTCCCGCGAACCTCATGAACCTCCTCCAGCTAGATTTGGGAACCTCCTGCCCGAATCCAAAGTAGATCCTGTTCGTGGCTGAAAAGAGAAAACCAAGGAGGAAGACTTGGCCTCGTCCCTGGAAGGCAGGCGTGGCGTGTGCTGTGCGCTGTGGGGGTCCCAGCTGGTAACCTGGGCCAGGGTCGGGGGGAGGCCCTGGGCGCCCAGGCTGCCCTCGCAGAAGGGACCAGGCAGGGGGACAGGAGAGCGCGGTAGGACGGGAACTGGCCGGGCTCCTGACAGGCCTGACCCTCATTCACACGGAGCCAGGGAGCCCGGCAGAGGGGCCTGCGGGGCCCGAGGGGGGGAAGCCCCGGGGTGATGGGTCCACTGAGGCGGCCCCTCCTGACCCCCGGGACCAGAGCGGCTGTGCGGGCAGCAGGGGGGAGGTCTGTAACCTCGCTGGGCTCCTGACTCTCTGACCTTTGGATCTGTTACATGGGGGGTCTCCCTGAGCTGTCAGAGGAGAGAGTACAAGCAGCACTGGCCCGTCAGCTGAGCTGCAGGAAACCCTCACCCCCGTCCCACTGACAGCAGCTGCCAGCCCTTTGCGATTCAACAAACCAGGATTTATTTATAGGGTTCCTGGGGTTCCTTCAGTGTATGGAGTCTAACACCCCCTTGTGCACGGAGATCGCAGCCCCTTCCCCACTGGCAGAGACCACTGCCATGTGCTATCAGTGTCCCCATTTCTTCCCCAGGGCGCTTAGGACTGAAGAGAGAGGCTGAACTAACCGATCAGAGAGGCTGAGATGCAGGTCCAGGGCAGCTGACTTGGTCGATACCAGGTCCTTGTCCCCCCTGCGGGGAACAACGTGTGGAGTCAGTGACCATGTGACCAGGGACCCCAGGTCGCACAGGGACGGGGATGGGGACGTACTGAGCTCCTCCTGCAGCGACTCTGGACATAAACTGAAAATAAAGTCCCGTCCAGGGAATGCAGAGGAGGATCCGGGGGGATGGGCGTGGGCGGGGCAGGGAGGTGGCGACCACCTGCAGCTGGGCCTCACCTTGGGCGCTTCACTGCCGCCGCAGCTCTGCCCGCGCTGCTTCTCTCTCAGCTCCTACTCTCCCCTCCTCCTGGGACGCGGCCTGGTCCTCTTCCGCCATGGCCACAGCAAGTACCACACACCGAACGGGAGCCCCGCAAGGAGCAGCAGCAACAGGGTCACGATGAAGGCCACCTTCCAAGGCTGTGTGTCCCTGAAGAAGGCACCTGCGAAGGGGTAGCGGCAGCCCCTGAAGGGATCTTCTGTCCCCAGAGTGCCCAGACTCTCATTGCCACACAGTCAGGACGGTTTTCCTGAAACGTCTCCGCCCCCATGGGATCAGATGGAGCATGAGGACGCACACATAGTGTCACTGACGTCCCCTCTGCACCCCCCGCCACACTGACTACCTGCCCCCCAGTCAGCGGAGTCTGGTGACGAAGACCGACTCTGGGGCTGGGGACCTGGGTTCTAGTCCCGGGTCTCCTGCCCGACCAGCACTGTGACCTTGAGCTAATGACGTAACCATCTTGGCTGCGTCCTGATCAGTGAGAGCATTCAGTTAGTGCTTATGCAGTGTCTGACGCAGGGTGAGTGCCACGCAGGTTTTGTTCAGTTTTCAAAACTAAATATATTTTGTTCTATCTTCTTTACAGTGGAAATAGCCCCTATGCAGCTGGTGGGCATGCGGTCGGTCTCGGCCTGTGTCTCGGTCACCTGCCCGCCCCAGCACAGCCCGCAGGCCCATTCAAACCCAGGAGCACCAGCGTTTAGGGCGCTGTCTCCCCACAGCTCGCCACCAGAGGGCCCCACCACCTCCTTTTTCCTTCTGCTGGCAATTTCCCAGGGGCAAAATACTTCCGATTGCTAAGATTTGGCATCCTCCTGGGAGTTTTAACTTTCTCAAACTCACCATTCCTGTTTTTGCTGTTTTATCCACTGTGTTCCTTTATGTTGTAAGGAGATTACCCCTTTCTCTGAGATTTGGGTTGTACCTACTTTTTCCTCCTGGTGTGTTTGCTGAACTTTTTCCCATCTGCCCCCACGTCCCACTGCCTGGCTCCGTGTGTGGCAGGAAGTGCTCAGAAGGAATCTGTGACATAAACCGCTTCAGGGGAAGGAACGCCAGGTCCCTGCTCTGTGCCCTCTGAATCTCCCACGGACCCAGGTCAGCAGCTGACCCTGCGCCATCCCCCAGGGGCACCAAGGAGCCCAGGGCAGGGGGCAGGGCACTCACCTGCCATGGAAAGCCTGGCTGACATCTCCGGGCCCAGCAGGGGGTTTCTGATGACACAGGAGACCCCCTCCCCAGAGCCGCCTTCCAGGATCACAGAGGCTGAGGCTGCATAAAGGCCCTGGGGGTCTGCAGCCGCAGATGCTACCTCCGAGGACAAGCTCTGTCCCTCTGGCGTCTCTCCACTGGATCTGGGGCTGCGGGTACCAGCCGGCAGACGTGCAGTTCACACGGATCCCTCCAGCCTCGTAGCCCTTCATGTCAATGTGGGGATCAGAGCCCAGCGCTGGGGAGGAGAAGTGAGCTGAATCATGGGGAGCCCTCTGTACTGGTGGGGTGTCCTCACCAGGGAGGGGCACCCACACTGACGAGCCCAGCAGGGACTCACCAGGAGCTGCTCCCAGCGTGTGCTGTGCAGCAGAGACTGATCCCCAATGGGGCCACTGCCTGACCCTGGCTGGACCCTCGTGCTGGATCCAGGGGGCTCTGGGCCAGAGCAGAGGCTGCTTCCCCCAAGGCCCCTTAGAGACTGCCGCAGCCTCCCCTCCCCCCTGCCCCAGACAGGCTGGTCCCTGGCAGAGCCCCTCAGCCCAGCCTGGGCAAGCATGGAGGTGGTGCCCCTCAGCCTAAGTGGGTCGCACCCCACTGCCCCTGTTCATGCTGCCTGTCCTGTGGGGGCCGTGCCCTCCCGTAAGAAGAGTCACACGGTGTCCTGCGGTCGCCCGAGCGGTGATTCTATGCACGGCCCCTCAGGTGGCTGCTGCTGCCCTCACTGCCAGGCTGCCCGGCTCTCCCTCCAGGGTCTCCCCCGGAAGTGTCCACAGCGAGGCTGTGCAGAGGGGAGGACTTTCCCACGGAGACAGCGGACAGAGGGCCAGGAGGAGGGGAGTTACTGCCACCTGTCCCCACCCCCTGAACACACGCAGGGGGAGGAAGCCCTCTGAGGACCTGAACACACAGAGTCCTGCAGGGGGGGCTCCGTTGGGGGAGCCGAGGTCTCCAGGAAGGGACAGCAGGCTGAGGAGGGGCCGTGCCGGGACAAGGCCAGGGGGCCCCACGGTCCCTGCTCCACCAGCCCCCACGCACTGGAAGCCACAGGGCAGGGCTGTGTCCACAGAACTCGAACTGCAGCTCTGATGCCCTGACATGAACGCTTTCATGGGACAGTACCTTAGACAAGGCACTTCATCACTGGGGTGGGTTGGGGCCAGGTCAAGGCCACTGAAGGGTTGGGTGACAGCACAGAGGAAACAGGAACCGTGTGCAGGGACCCACCTCCCTGTGCCGGCTGTGAGTGACCAGTGACACCCCCGACCATCCTGACCACGTCCCACCCAGAGCCCAGCGCTGCTTCCACATCCCCCCAAACCGCACCACGTCCTCCCTGACGCCCCCTCTCTGAGACACCCCGGTGTCCCCGTCCCCAGGGGAGCGTCCTCCCTCGCTGCACCCAGGACGTCACAACCTGTTCAACTGCAGCTGTGTTCCCAGGGGTTTGGTGGGGGACGTGGGCCCCACAGGTGTTGCCCCTGCAAGTCAGACCCCTGGACCCACAGGAGTAGGCACCTGGGGCCCGACGGCCTTGGTCTGGATCACGCTGAACCCAACACCCACGTGCCACCCGCTGCGGGGAGGTGTCCCCAGCCTTCCTGTCCCCGACCTCTACCCCCCTCTGAGACTGGTGTGTGGCATGGGGGACTCTGTACTGCTTGTAGGAGGAAGTCACCCTGGGGACCCCTGGGTGGCTCCCAGGCCTCAGAGGAGCAGAGACAGAGGTGGGGGGGCTATGCTGGTGAGCAGCCCACGTGCTCTGGGGTAGGTCTGCAGCCTCTGCCCCCGCCCACGGAAAGGAGCCTGGAACAAGCCTGAGGCTCACCTGCCACCTGCAGCTCCACCTGGGCTTTTGCATAGAAGTCTCCATCTTGGAAATAACACAGGTAGGTTCCGTTGTCTGAGACCCTGACATTGTGAATCCGGAGAGCGGCCTTCCCCGCAGTGACGTCCTCTCTTATAATCGAAGTTCTCCCTCGAAACTCCTCTGCCGGCGTGTCCTCCTGCCCGTGTGCGTACACGTGCACTACCTGCCTGCGGCCGGGTCGCTCCCACATCAGCTGCAGGGTCTCAGCGCTCATCTTCGGGGACAGGTGACAGGGCAGGTCTGCGTCTTCACCCACCATGGCCAGGATGGGCTCGGGGGGTCCGACCACAGCAAACTCACCTGGTCATCAGAAGGGGGGGGTCCGTCAGAGGGAGCAGGGTCAGAGGGCCAGGGGGTGACCCAGGCAGGGAGGGTGAGGTGACAGACACCTAGACGGGAACTCAGTCCTCACACGGGTGTGGTGTGGACGGGCCTTGCAGGGGTGGGTGGAGTCCCGGGTTCTGGCTGGGCCCGAAGGGAAAGGATGCACACACGCAGACGCACAGCCGGTCCTACCTGAGCAGGGGCTGAGCAGCTGGACCACGGCGAGGCACACAGGGAGGGCAGGCAGTCGGGGCAACAGGCACCTCCCCATCCTGACCTGCTGTGCACAGAGAGAGGCCAGCAGGGGCTGGGCAGCAGGGACCACCTGGAAGGAGGAGTAGGGTTCCACGTGGAGAGGCTGCCTGCCCAGGGCCGACCCGGGCACCACCGCCATCACTGGGGACCCCAGAGCCTCCTCTGCAAATGTGCCCTGGGGGGTCTCTTCACCTTGGATCCCTCCATGGAAATCAGCCATGAAACGTGGAGCGGTAATGCAGGTACTTTATCCCTCGCCAGCAGGGAGCACCGGGCTCTCCTGTGGGAACCTGCTTAGAAGCTCCCCACTTGCTCATACTCCCCTGCCCCAGCCAGGTGCCTGCCCCCCTGCACCACCCTCTGAGGAAGGCAGGCCCCTCTGCTCCGAGTCCCCTTTCCCACTGCTGCCCTCTGCAGGCCACACTGCGCACAGCAACCAGCGTGTCCGCCCCCTCACCTCCCTCCTGCTCAGCCCCTCCCAGAGGGTCCCCTGTCACCCAGGGCAGAAGCTCACGGCCTTTCCACCCTGTGCTTTACATTATCTGACTGTTTTAGGGGATAGCTTGGTTGGGAGGCAGTGGTCAGGGAAAATGGAGAGAACTGCACTTGAACAAAATTAAAATTAATTAATTAATAATTAATAAGAAAAATACCTCAATGATATAAAGATTAAAAATTTCCAGAGTGGGGGACACATTTCCACAATATTTTGAAGGGTATATACTGTTTTGTATTCCTATCACACACCAACTTAAAATAAAAACTAAAGGAATGAAATTGAAATAACTCAGAAGGAATTACATCCTGTGTTGCACGTGAATGTGAACTCCTGTGGATGCATTGGCCACATGTACTCAAGGGGCGCCCCAAAACCAGAATCTATTTATCAAAACTGTTTTTATTCGCACACCTTTAGCCTTCGGTCCCCCTCACATGCTCCCCCCTGGATGGGGACACCCGTGGGGACGGCCCTCCACCGCCCTGAACACTCTCTGCACTCGGCGGCTCTGACGCCTCTTACAGCTTCTGCTGTTTTGTTTCACGTCTTACATGTCGGGATGTTTCCGTTTTTGGAGTCTTTTCACCCGGGAAAGAAAAACAATCCCGCTGGGTGAGATCGGGGGAATAGGGAGGGTGGGGCAGGTGGAATTTGGTCAAAAACTGCTGAACACTCAGCGCAGGTGGGCAGGTGGGCTGGTAAATCACCCGTCGGGAAATGGCCCAGTGCCCTGTAAGAGTTGTGGGAAAAAAAATCAATAAAGCCCAACGCAGCCTCTCACAACAAGGCCAGCTGGTCACTGATGCAGATGGGCTCCTGCAAATTCCTCTCCTAGTGGGTAAGCCTGGACTACAAGGGGCCTGCCCTCCAAAGGGAACTGCTGGTTTATTTTTTTTTCTCCATTTTTGGTTGGGTCACTCCTTGTATACCAAATACACTGACAAAGTTTTATCCATAGCACTACAGATTACACTGGCAGGCAGGAATTGCTTTTAAAGTGAAACTGGCATTAATACAAAAATTCACATTTAATTCTGTTCATTCTAGTAAAATCTACAAGAGGACAGTGTATAAATTAGATGCAATTTTGTTATAATTATGAACAAAAACATGTTATTAAAAACATAATTCCTCTCTGGCTGGTGTGGCTCAGTGGAGTGAGTGGGGTCTGGGACCAAAGTGTTGTCGGTTCGATTCTTGGTCAGGGCCCATGCCTGGGTTGTGGGCCAGGTCCCCAGTAGGGGGCGTGCGAGAGGCAACCACATACTGATGTCTCTTTCCCTCTCTTTCTCCCTCCCTTCCACTCTCTCTAAAAATAAATAAAATCTTTAAAAAAAGGTAATTCCTAGACACACAGACAGAACACCCAACGGTGAGAAGCCGAAAGCTCCCCCTCTCTGATCAGGAGGGAGGCAGACGCCCACCCTCACCACCCCCCGCCCCAGAGCACTGGGAGTCCGAGCAACAGCGCTCACGTGAGACAGAGACAAACAGCAAGCACATCCGAGGGAGGAGGAGCCTTCGCACTGCCCGCAGACGGCAGGACGCGGTACGTAGGACCGTTTGAGGACCCACCAAATCCCATGAGAACATGGAAATGAAGGCAGTGAGGTCGCAGGACACAATGCGGACACCGGGTGCACTTCCGTGCAGCAGCGACGGGTAACCACAGGGAGGTGTCGTCAGCCCCTCCTGCGGTTGCGTCCGAAAGCAGAAACCACCCAGGAACAAGGTCAACCAGCGAGCGGACAGCCTGCGCCCTGCCGGCTGGAGGAACCGAGAAAGGAGACGAAGAGGGGACACGCGACGGGGGACACCCTGAGCTCAGGGTCGGCAGGAGCAACTCTGTCACACCGTCCTCGCTGCCCAAAGCCAAGCCCAGACTCAGGCTGTCCTTGTTGAAACACTGATGGCGTTCTCCTCAGAAGGACAACAAGGAATCCTGAACTATATTTATTTTAAATCCCTTGCGGTTTATTCCTCAGTGAGGCAGACACGTCACGGGGGAGTCTGCTGCCTTTCTACCTGGCCTGGGTCGCTGCTCACATTTAAGTCCCCCACCCAGTGCAGAGGATGTAAGGAGTAGGGAAAAACTTAGACCATGAGAAAATAGGAACCTCGCTAGCTAGAGCCAGGAGATTACTAGGTTAATGAACAAACATCCTGCCTTCTCACCTTGTGCAAGAATGCTTGGTTTGAAATTCCCGAGCGCGATCTTTGTAAGCGAATTGCTAACTGCCACGTCTGCTTCTGTGTAACGCTTGCTTGCCCGCCCCCGTATAAGGAAGTAGTTGTAAGCACTCGGCGCGTCTCTGGTTTGCAGCCCCTTGTGGGCACTGTGCCGCTGGACACTGTGAGAGTTCGCCCCTGCGCAGGTTAAACTTGGCCAATAAAGTAACATCTTTGATATTCTGAAAGTCTCTGATATTTGTTCTCGCGTTTGCTAGATGCTACACGGAGCACCCAGAGGTGGGGTGAACCTGTTTGCGTTCCTCTTTCGGACAGCGGCCCTGAATCCGGGGGCCTCAGGGGGACCCTTTCACCACAGATGTGTGTCATCCTCATAGACAGTTGTCCTGCTCACCCCGTCACCCTCTTCACCTGTGACACCTGCCCTTGGGGTGATTCCTAGGAGCAAGGTGGTTGCAGGGCGGGCTGTAGAAACCAACTGGTTCCCGAGCCTCTTTGGGCCCACTCACCCTCCTGGCACTCGGCACCCGGCAGGCAGGCAATCTCCGGGTTGCGATGAGCGGTGTGAAGGAGCCAGTTCGCAGGGGCTGCACTCGGTGACACTGTCCAGGTCCTAGTCTCTGCTGACGGAGAACCCTGTGAACGGGGGCACACAGAGGTGATGGTGTGGCCCAGGGCACAGACTTCCCCTGGTCCCTGAAGCCTCTGCCTGAGGAGGTGCCACAGCACCTGGTGGCAGCTGGCAGCACAGCACCAACCCTCCCCTCCTGCCTCCTTGGGTCCTTCTGGACTGATTCCCGGCTCCATGTGTCCCAGGGGCTGGGGACCTGACTCACCCTCGGCTCTCCCCGACATTCTGCAGCTCCGGGAAGAGGGGTGCTGAGTGTGCACGCCGGAGCCTGCGCCCACCCCTCCCGGGAGGGCCGCTCCATAGCTTCCGTGTCAGGGCTCAGGCCAGCCCAGGTGGTCGGACACCAGGAGTCTGCCCAGTCCCACCCGGGTTGATTTTTAGTAAATAAGACTAGCTTCTTAAATCTCCGCCCATGCCCGGAAGGGGTGGCTTTGGTTTTGGCAACACTAGTAGCCACGCCCAGTTTCAGGTCCCTGCTCTTCCAGTCCCACCCACAGGCCCTGGGCTGGGAACAACCGCTCCTCCCAACCGCAGCCCCGCCCCTACGCCCTGGGGTTGCAGCCACCGTACTACCCACCCCCACCCGCGTCTGGTCCGGAAGGGGAATAGTGTTGGGTTCCCTCACCCTCTCTGTACAGTCAGGGCTCCGCCCGCCAGGCTCCAGGGAGGCCGGGCAGAACGTGGACAGTCCCCAGTCCCCCCAGGAAACCGTGGACACCTCAGGTTCCCGTCGTCAGCGTGACCTGCACCAGGGCGCTGAGCCCGCGGGCGGTCCCTGTCCTGGTGTGTTAGGAACCGGGCACCACGGAAAGCCGCCTTGTGTCCACCCCCCCCCCCCCCGCCTCTCCGGTGGAGAAGTCCTGCATGAGTGGAATCGGGCCGCCCCTGAGCTGGAAGAATTCCCAACAAGAGCCGCTGGGACCCAGTGCGCGGGGGGCCGGGGCCGGGGGCGGGGGGGGTGCTCGGCAGGATTCCTCCTGCCCCACCCTGGCCCCACCCCGGCCCCAGCCCCACTCAGTGCTCTCACTAGCCCGCCAGGTAGTCCAGCCCCGGGTGACCCCCGCCCCGCTGTCGGGGTCTGCTCTTCCCCGAGCGCCGCCACCCGCACCGCGCCCGCCGGACCAGGAGCAGCGGCAAAGTCCGGGGAGGGGAGCGCAGAGACCTGAGCGAGCGCCGCTCGGGGCAGCCGTAGACGCGGGGGTCAGGGTCGTAGTTTCACTTATCAGCAGCGCCCCGCGTCCGCTGGAGAAATGCCGGCGGGAACGGCAGAGGAGTCTAGCCCGGACGGCCTACTAGCGGGCGGCTTCAGTACGACTCTGCCCCTAGGACACGACGCAATTACGGTCTTTCTCCCGCTGGAGCTGCTCTCTCGAGCGCGCTGGCTCCCAATGAGCCACCTGGAGCCACGCCGGGGAAAAAAGAAATGCTGAAAAGGCCTCACCGTTCAGACGGCCGAGGGGCCGATCGACCCTGAGCCCAGGAGACTGGCTCAGCAGAGAAGCACCGTGATGGCTGCCTGGCAGTTTCCCTTCGGGTGGCTCCGGGTGGGGGAGGGGGACCGAGAGGACCGACAGAGGCCCCGCCCTGTCCTCCCGCCGCGCCCGGACCGCCCCCAGCCCGGGCTGTCACTCCCTCTCCTCCAGGGGCTCCGACTCGGAGCGCGCCCCGCTGGGGAGCCAGCTGCACACGGGCTGGAATCCTCCGAGACTTTTGGCGTCTTGACGTTGGCAATGATGATGATGATGATGATGCCCAGACAAACCGGGGGAACATGAAACAGCTCCCGAGAAAACCACCTGTCTGCGCTCGGACTTCGGGAGAAACAGGAAACGTGTCAGTGAAGTCACAGGCCGACAGAGTTTCCAGCAGACGCGGGACCCAGTCCAGACACACCAACCCCACGAGTGCTCGTGAAGGACGAGAAAACCCTCGGTCGAGGCACCTGCACCCCGAGTCCACGGCAGCACCGCTCACAAGGGGGAGACACAGACCCCCCTCAGTGAGATGCACACAGGGATGTGCGTGGTGGCCGCGTGTGCCCACAGACATGCGCACACGCACCCACTGGAACCCGTCACCACGGGAAGGAGGACCCCTGTCATCAGAGGACCGTGGACGCACAAGGGGACGGGAACTCCGTGAGGCACTGAGACAGAGATACCCCCCAGGTGACCACATGTCATGTGGGCCACAAACACCACCCAACGTCATGAGACGACCCCTCTGACCCCTCCAGGGGTTCTGTCATTTTCAGACCGTGCAGGTGGGTCTTTGGGTGGTTGCCACGCCCTCCTCCAACCTTGTTTTCTGACAAGGTCTGAACGTGGAAAGAGGGAATTCAAGGAATCCATCTTCCTGGAAGAGAGCGTGGCATACAAAGGGGGGCGGTAATTTTCCTGGGGATTGCTCTTAATAATTTCCTTGCTAATATTAATCATGGTCTTACTTTGTACCCTGATTCCCATAAGAACAGGCCATGAGAAGAAAGAGGCTTGAAAAGAGTCAATGATTGATTTTGAGGGAAATTCTGAAGGGACAACTAGTTCTCCCTAGACTATTGAATTATGCCCAAATTGTTTTAAACAAGGAGTTTATAAACCTGAGGAAGAAACTATGCCCGATTGTTCCCATAAAAGAATTCATGAATCAGTTACAACAGGTTGAATTATTGGCAGACTTTCCCACCCCTGTTCCTTACCCATAGATACAAAGAGTCTTTCTAGAAAACAAGAAAAAAATTATATAGACCCTTACCCACAGCCCAAGGATACACCTGGGTAACATGTTGGATTAATGGCAAATTATGGCATCCCCAAGAGTAGCTAATAGTCTCCAGACGGTTCCAGATCCCCCATTGCCTTATACAGGAGCATATAATGAGGGTGGCATTAGAACGGTCAGTAAGGATGGAGTCCAAGTGCCTTATAATAGTCTAAATTTCGTGGAAAGGCTAGCTCGAAGCAGACCCCCCTGGTGTTCATTAACTAAGGAACAAAAAAAGTCACTACTCCGCCAGCTTGTCAAAGGATTTTGCCCACACTTCCCCCTATCAGGCAGGAGCTACAAAAAAGAACTCTCTGAACTATCCAAACAAAAAATAGAATAAGACATGAGAAAGTCAAGAATGGCCTGTACCCTACAAAATCCAATAAAACTGTCTATCACCTTTAGGTCAAAAGGTTTACTGTGGCTGGATGTCCTGTCTATCTCTCCTTACATGTTTGTTTTGGTGAGCAAAAGGTGGTGCGATTGTCAGACACCTGTACCTCAGGTTTATTGATTCGCATAATTCCAATGAAGTTGTACAAAATAATTTCTTGACCAGAGAACAAAATCCCCTCTAATGAAATAGCCCTGAATGTCTAAAAGTTGTAGGAGTAACAGCCCCGCCTTTACCTTGAATAGGAATATACATCAAGTAGAATTAGACAGGCAAAGAAATAAGCAAAGCTGGTTAGCTATTCCAAACTAAGCATGTAGAAACAGTTACCAGGGAGTCAGAGTCCATGGTGCATAGAGAAACATTTTAGACAGAAAAGATAGATAGCTAAGTTAGATGTCACAAAGGCCTTATAATAAGTTTCCTATAACCTCTACTCAATCTAGTGTATCCTTTTTCTGAGAACTTTAATATACAATAAGACATTCAAACTCTGCACATACAGCTAGTTTTAATTGTCTGAGGTCACTAGACTAGCGTGACCTGATATCCAGGTAGAAAAGTTCCTGCTTCGCCTAACGGAAAATGTCAATCACTGCCAAAAATGAAAGTATCAAAACCTGCTTGTACTTGCAATAAAAGGAACAGAGCTTCACCGTCCTCTGAGTCGTGTTGTCGTCTGTCTCCCATCACTGACGCCTCACCCACTTTTCAGGAACCCCTGGACCCAGCTGCGGCCGGACCACGGCACCCACCAGGGTGGAAGGGGCTGGTGACACGCAGTACATCATCCCTGACTGCCTGAGGGGTGACGCTGACCCTGCTGCCTCTCCGTGTGCGTGTGCGTGGGATTTCCCAGTTTCCCACATCGGACTGAGCACCTTCCCGTGTGAACACGGTGACAGAATAGACACGGGGCTGAGAATGTGGAACCGGAGTGGCTCTCTGGGTCCTGTCACTTTCCTGCTGTCACACTACGTGGGGACCGACATGGGAGCTGACAGATGTCTCCAGCCGCGTCTCTGTGGGGCTGTGAGCTCCGCACTGCGGGACCAGGAGGTCCCTCCTTCACCCGAAGGCCCCGCCTTCCCATCACGTTTCTCGGCTGCACCGTGAGGGTCCCTGTGGCCAAGTCCCGAGGCCCGACGTGACGGTCCGGCCATGGCAGGGTCAGGGGCTGGCTCGTCAAGGTCAGGCAAGGTGCCCGGGGGAGACTCACCCTCGCGGCAGGTGCCACACAGCAGGCAGGACTCCAGGCCTTTGGGGAACTCGGTGAACGTGCCTGGGTCACACTTGTCGCACTGTCCCCGGGTGTGGGGGCGGCTGCAGGGTTCACGGACATGCTCCCCTGTGCAGGAGGTGGGCGCTGTGGTCAGACCCCTCCAGGCTCGAGGGGTGTCCCTGCTGTGCGGCCTGCCCACCCCGTCCTGGGGGCAGCCCCGCCAGTGGGAAGAGGGAAACACTTCTGTCTGCAGTTTCGGATCAAGGTGACCTCTGGACGTCACACCTTCTTGGACATGAGGAAGCACAGACCGCCCGGGATCCCACCTCGGCCTCCTATCCCTGCCCTGCACCCGCCCCTCTGGCAGCTGTGCTGTGGGCTGCACAGGGACCCCGGCCCCCAACCAGCAGACGCTGAGGACCCCGAGTACGCGCCTCTTGTCAGCAGGAGCAGGTCCCAGCACTCCGCCTCCCAGCCAGGGCCCAGGCTCAGCCTCTGGGAGGAGCTCCGCCCCGTTCCCACCCACAGGGGTGTGCCCTTCAGGACCCAGGAGCACCTCACTGGGCCAGCAGGTTCCTGCCACCCTCGCTGAGGGCAGACGGGGCTTCCTTCTACAAGGTGTGCCCTGGGGCCACGTCCCACCTCATGGGTGCTGCTAATCAGCCTCCCCCCCTCACTGTCAAGAGAGGGCCCCTCCCCCCGGCCCGACACACGTGGACTCTGCGGTCCCTCCAGGCAGACCCGTCCCGGACTCACCCGTGGGGCAGAGCAGGCAGCAGTGGCCTGGGGACCAGTACTCGAGGGGCCCGCAGCTGTCGGTGGGGCTGGGGCGCGCCGGGCTCCGCTGGAAAGTCCGGTGGGTGGGGGCGGTCCCCGTCAGCTGGAACAGAACAGGAGACATTCCCACCCATCCGGACTGCCCACCCGTCCTGTGCCCCGTGCAGTGGAGGGTGGTTCCCTGAGCTCTGCACATGCCTGAGCTGGGTTCCATTGGCGGGACTGCTGCGTGGGTGGGAACCTGGTCCCCTACCGGCTTTGGGATTGGCGCACTTACTCGCGGCACTGCCCCGCATAGCCACGCCCCTTGTGCCCACACAGTCCTGAGGCGCCGACCCGGATCCCGCTCTGCGTCGGGGCCCGCCGGGGGGCGTTGCGCTCGGCTCCCTCGGAGGGGCGGCGCGCAGTGCCCAGCCCCAGCGTTTTCACCTGAGAGAGGCAGTGGGGCGGCCCTGAGAGCGAGGACGTTTTGTGTATTATTCTTGCAAACGGCAACTCTGGCATCATCGGGAAGGAGAGTAGGCGAGCGGGGAGGCGAGCCCGGAGGAAGGGAGGGAACCGGGGGAAGGGAGGCGAGGCCGGGGGAGGAACGTACGAGAGCTTCCGCCACAGGTCGGAGGAGCCCCCATCTGTGTGCTGGTAGGCGGGCACTGAACCTCGCTGAGCCTCAGATTCTGGGAAAGCCCCGTCTGGTCCCTGGGGCCCTGGGCCCTCCGGAGATGCTGCACCTGCTGCTTGTTCGTCACTGAGGCAGACGTGTTGGCGGGGAGGCTGCGGCCTCTCTAACTGGCCTGGGCCCCTGCTGGGAGTTAAGCCCCCCCCCCAACCCAGTAAGGGGGACTATGGGCTGAGGGTCGCTGCGGCAGTGAATAAAATCTTAAAGAAAAATAAAGACATTGTATTTCTAGAGCTTCAAAGAATTTTCTCTTTTTAAAGATTTTATATATTTATTTTTAGAGACAGGGGAGGGAAGGGAAAAGAGACACAGAGAAACATCAACGTGTGGTTGCCTCTCACACACCCCCCACTGGGGACCTGGCCCACAACCCAGGCATGTGCCCTGACTGGGAATCGAACGGGTGACCCTTTGGTTCTCAGGCTGGTGCTCAACCCACTGAGCCACACCAGCCAGGGCTAAAGAATTTTCATTTCAAGAGCAAGTTATAGAATTAGAAGACTTGTGAGGCTAAATCTTCAAATTAAATATTAAAATTACATCATTGAATTAGTAAAAAAGACATTGTTAAAAAGCTCAATGTCAAGGCTGATTTCCCTCCAAACCACGTCCATAGGTGCATGCAGTTACCACGTCCAAGCAAACATTCACATTTACTAGAAACTGCAAAGTCCTAGTACTCGTCCACCTAACACAGAAGGCCGCTGAGAATTGTTCCAATTTGTGTCACTTTCAAAAACGATGCCCCGGGATTCCGGCTGCTCCGTGCTGCCTTGTCTGCCGCCGGCGGTTCCCGCACCCAGAACTGCCCCTGGCAGCTCCCAGCGCCAGCCGCCCGCGGGAGCCTTAGCAGAGCAGGCCGGGAAGGTGCTCCTGCCCCGCCCCTCCGCGGGGCCCCCTGGGCCGGCACAGCGCCTCCCGCCAGCGGACCCCAGACACACACCCAGCTGTCTCGGGGCTGCGACCTCAGCCCTGGGACCACCCTCAGCCCCGCCGCTGTCCCTCCCTCTCTGCTCAGTGCACAAGGTCTTATAGCCTCTGGGGAGGACCTACGGTGTGTGTGGGGGCCAGTGGGGGCTCGGCAAGGAGACGGTTCTCCCAGGATCCTCCAGGGGAAGTGACCTCTCCTTCCAGAGGGTGACCTGGCACAGCACGGGGGAGCTCTATCCCTTTAATTTCCAAAATCTCCTCCAAGGATGCCCACCCCGGCCCACAGCCTGGGAGAGGAGGGACCCGTAGCTGGTTGCCCAGTGCAAACAGAGCCGGGACATTGTCACTTTTGGGCTGCTCCAGCTGGCAGGGGACACTGAAGAGAGCAGGGGGTCAGGCAGGGAGCCGGGCAGGGAAGCAGCCAGCTCCACAGGCCCAAGGAGTCGTCACCCAGCGGGGGCGGGGTGGGGTGGGAAGAGGCAGGACCACCCGCCTGGGGGGCAGATGTGGGGAAATCACAGGGAGACGTGGCACCACAGTCCCGATCGAGGTGAAGGTCCCTGTGGCCTGGGTGCTGCCAGCAGATGCCCACTGAGTTTGGGGTGACCCCACCCTCCCCTGGCTCAGACCTGTGCCCGCAGACTGACACACGCACGGCCCACAGAGTGGGCCACGGAAGCAGGCCTGGTGTGTGCCGCGGGGCAGGTGGCGGGGTGTGGTGCATGAACACCCACTTTCCTAAGCCAAGGAATCTCCTTCAAGTTGCTGGGCTTAGGGAGGGAAGAGATGGGGGGACACAGGGCGGAGCTGGGAGGGGGCGGGGTGGCAGCTGTGGCCACTGTCAGGGCAGCCTGGTGACTCAGTCAGACACTGGGGTGAGAGTCCTGAGCACCGCGAGTGAGAGGCAAAGCCCTCTCTGTCCCTCGGGGCTGGGGGGTGGCTCTCCAGTGTCCCCAGGCCATGGCAGGGAGCCCAGGGTTCCTTCTCCGAAACCAGAAGGCCCGGTGGGGTCCGGCACGCCCCCCCACACTCATGCTCCCTTCCCGGACCCTGCAGATGGCAATTCGGACATTGCGTGCGCCTCTTCTGGAATAGTCTGCCCAGACCCACTTCCCTCACGTCCTTAGGGTGTCCCTGGAGGCCTCAGAACACCAGACTGGCAGCCAGGGTCGCAAGGCCACAGGCTGCCCGGCCGGAGGCCCATGGCAGCTAACGGCACTGGCTGTGTCCTACCACTGGGCAGCCCGGTGAGGACCTGGTGGGGTCCTGCACCCCTACGTCCAGCGGATGCTCCCTTCCTGTGCCCCTCAGATCCCAACAGGGCCATTGGGTAGAATCGTTTCTGAAGCACATTCCCGAGCACTTCCTGTACGTGCCTGAACGCTTCCTCGGGGGCCCCAGGTTCGCTCTGACGCCATCGACGCTGCCGTCAGCTCACGGGCCACGGCCCCTCCGGCAGTGACACTGTGTCTGGGACTGTCCCCAGGTCCTTCCCTGCACCTGACTTGTGCCCTCACACGTGTCCCTGCTGAACGACCACTCACCTTCCCGCCTGGGGTGGTCTCAGCTCTCCCGACAGCACCAAGAAGGGCCCTGGGTCCCGCCACCGCAGGGAGCGCAGCTCCGGCAGCCGTCGGAGTTAGCAACGCAGACCTGACCCTGGGTCCTGCAGAGAGGACCCGGCCAGCGAGACCCTGGCTTCGGCTCCGCCAGAGCCACGCGGGCTCCCACCCACAGAGACACAGGGTGACCGTCGTGCGCTGTGTCAGGTCAGGAAGCGAGCGGTGGGTCATCACAGCGGCAAAGCAACAGCAGCGCGGCGAGGGCTCTGTGAGAACGCCGCGGGGAGGCCGACGGGACCCCGGGGGGTGAGCCGTGCGGCCTTGGATGCAGACGCAGCTCCACTGAAGGGTGACCGTTACTGCCACCCACGGCGGGGTACCGGGGGCACACCGGGAACAGTCACCGTGGTGATGATGAGGAAGAGCCGCCTTTCCCCAGGATGCACAGGTGACAGCAACCTCGGGGACCTCAGTGGTGATCAGCGGTGGGTGTCCCTTTGCTGGACGTGGATTCTACTGCGTCACAGAGATTCCAGCGACCTCCATTTGCGTCTTTTACCCAACACTCCTGCTTCACTAGGACCTGGAGGGGTGAAGGGGGAGGGCTGGGTCTGCTCTGTGCTCCCAGGTCACAGGGTGCGGTAGAAAGTGGCCGCTGGTCCCTTCTCAGCCCCCGGTGATGTGGCCTGAAGAGGCGGGAGCCCACAGCTGGGTCCCAGGGCCCACCCTCACTCTCCCTGCAGCCCCCTGCTCCAGCCCCATCCTCCTGCCTCTGCCTCCCACAGAGACCTGTGGACCCCGGGACGGCCGCTGTCCCCGGTCCCTGGACTCGGTGCAGGTGGGCACACCTTTGAGACCTCAGGTCACCCACCACCCCAAAACTGTCCAAGTCAAGAAGGAACAGGGGCCCTTGGGGGTTGCCCTGGGGACACAGAGGGATCCACTCACCAGGATAGAAGAGGGCCGTCTTCCACCCTGGCAGGAAGGGGACACAGAGAAGGGAAGGTCATTCTTTCTGTCCCCTCCACCCACTGTCCCCCCCGAGCCTCCTCTCTCTCCTCAGTGTCCTCCAGTGTCCGCGTTCCTCATCCGCACCTCTGCGGACCAGGCTCAACCCTCTCCCAGTGCTGGGCATCCCCCCAGCACGCCGGGGCCGCGGGGCCGTGACCGGGCTGTGCCGGGTGTGGGCGTGCGTGTCAGCAGGGTGAGGGGACGCTGCGTCTGGAAGGTCCCCTCTGAGTGACCAGACAGGCGGCGGTGGTTCAGCTACAGCAAATGAGCCTGTGACCCGGGTGGGATTCCTGCTCGCCCGGCAGGACAAGGGGTGAAGCACTAACCACACAGGAGCCCGGACACCAGAGCCCCAGACTCACTCACCTGCACAGGCCTGAGGCCGCTCCGCACCTGCAACAGAGACAGGCAGAGTCGCCTGAACTGTCACATTGGAGGCGGTTCCTTTCTCTCCCCCGTGACTCACTCCCATCTCCCCGTTCCCTTCTCGGCACCCCGCTCCCCTGTCCACCCGCTGCAGCTCAGAGCCCCCAGGCGCCCTGCCCGGGCTGTCCCAGTGTCACGGCACAGCTGTCCTCCTGCACCTGTCTGTGCAGCAGCCACGGCTCATCCGAGGTTCTTCTTTGCAAAGTTTCAGTTTCCTTCTGCCAACGCCGCTGGGACAGTGTTACATGGGAAACTCCAGACACCCAGTCCACGAGTTTAACCGCAATGAACTCCGAGCAGCGCCCTGCGGCAGCTGGGGTCTTCCTCCCACCTGCCCCTCACCAATCCCCCCTCAGTCCAGCGTGTCCACCGTGCAGACCGCCCCACCCCTAGTCACTGAGGAGCGTCTCTGTGACACATGGACGGTGACAGTATCGCAGCGTGGGTGTCCCAGTCACCCTTCCTTTACTTAATAACGGCCCCAACGTGCAAGACTTGGGACGCTGGCAGCGCGGGCGTGCCCACGAGAAGCCTTCCTTTACGTGAAAAGGGAAAAGCTCGTGAATTCAGGGTTTGGAAGGATCCGGCGTCAGGCTGCCATGGGGGGGGGCTGTACCACACCCCCCTCGGATAAGGGGTGACCTCCACGGACCTGGGTGTCCCTGTGCTAGAATCCTTCCCACCCCATCTGTGTCACTCCTGCCCACGTCCGGGAACAAATTGGCCACGTGATGAGAAATATCAGGTACTATTTTTTGACTAGTGATGATAAATTGGGGACAACTGTCACTGGCCACTTCTCCTTTTAAGAGACACTTCTCTCTCATGCTTTTCTTCCTGGCTTCAGATTTGGGGAGGCAAGCAGGAGGGAAGGACTCACATACTGACTCCTCTCCCCACCCCCTCTCCTTTCCAGGGGCTCCCGGGGTGGCCTGGCTCCAGCGCCCCCCCATGGAGACACCACAGCCCCATCCCCACTGAGAGAGACCACTGCCTCGGCCCCCACCAGTGTCCCCGTCCTTCCCCTGGGCGACTGGGGTGAGGGAGGGGGCTGAACTATCCGAGCAGAGAGGCTGAGATGCGGGTCCAGGGCACTCACGTGGTCGGTCCCAGCTGTCTGTCCACCCTGCAGGGAACAACATGACCAGTCAAGGACGCATGTCCCCAGGGACCCCAGGACGTGCAGGGACGGGGATGGGGACGTACTGAGCTCGTCCTGCTGCGTCTCTGGACATAAACAGAAAAAGAAAGTCCCGTCCAGGGGACGCAGAGGAGGATCTGGGGGGTGGGCGTGGGCGGCCCAGGGAGGTGGCGACCACCTGCAGCTGGGCCTCACCTTGGGCGCTTCGCTGCCGCTGCAGCTCTGCCCGCGCTGCCTCTCTCTCGGCTCGTGCTCTCCCCTCCTCCTGGGACGCGGCCTGGATCCTCTTCCGCCGTCGCCACAGCAAGCACATCACAGATGACAGGGGCACCGCAAAACACACCAGGGTCAGGGGGGGAACCACCTTCCAAGGCTGTGTGTCCTTGAAAAAGGCGCCTGCAAAGGGGTAGCTTCAGCCCCTGAAGGGATCTTTCTGTTCCAGAGCGCCCAGACTCTCACTGCCACACAGTCAAGACGGTTTTCCTGAAACGTCTCCGCCCCCATGGGATGAGATGGAGCACGAGGACGCACAGTGTCACTGAGGTCCCCTCTGCACCACGCGTCCCCCACTGACTACCTGCCCCCCTCAGTCTGCGGAGTCTGGTGATGAAGAACGAACTCTGGAGCTCGGGGACCTGGGTTCCAGTCCCGGGTCTCCTGCCCACCAGCGATGTGACCTTGAACTAATGACGTAACCGTCTGTTGCTGCGTCCTGATCAGTGAGAGCATGAAGTTAGTGCTTATGCAGTGCCTGACGCAGGGTGAGTGCCACGCAGGTTTCACTCAGTTTTGAAAAGTAAATATATTTTGTTTAATCCTGTTTACAGCGAAAACAGCCCCTATGTGGCTGCTCTGCATGGTGTCAGTCCCGTCATGTATCTCGGCGACCTGCCCGCTCCAGCACAGCCCGCACGCCCGTGTTCCTCCTGCAGGGCAGTGTCCGCCATACACTGGGTCCCCTCTGGTGGGCACCCCAGACTCTGCCATTTGTCCCGGGGATCACTGGTTTAAAAATACCCGGTGACAGGGGTCACGTCCCACCGCTGCAGGCTGGCCCGTGGGGTGGTCCCCAGAAGTGGGTTTTGCATCAGTCAGTGGGCAGTTCGGGTGCAGACGGCCCTGCGCCCCCACAGCACGGGGGGCCGACCCCCAGCAACACCATCCAACACGGGAGCACAGACGGCTACGGGGCTGTCTCCCCACAGCCCGCCACCAGAGGGCGCCCACCACCTCGTTTGTCCTGCTGCGGCCAAATTCACAGGGCGAAATAGCTCCCTGTTCGGTCAGATTTGGCATCCTCCTGGGAGTTTTACCTTCCCAGAAACTGATGATTCCTGTTCTTGCTCTTTTATCCACCGTGTTCCTTCATGTTGTAAGGAGATTAGCCCTTTCACTGAGATTTGGGATGTCCCAATATTCCCTCCTGGTGTGTTTGCTGAACTTTCCCATCTGCCCCCACGTCTCACTGCCTGGCTCCGTGTGTGGCAGGGAGTGCTCAGAAGGCGTCTGTGACATGAACCACTTCAGGGGAAGGAACGCCAGGTCCCTGCTTGGTGCCCTCATGTACCCCAGGCACATAGGTCAGCAGCTAACCCTGTGCCTTCCCCCAGGGGAACCGAGGAGCCCAGGGCAGGGGGCAGGGCACTCACCTGCAATGGACAGCCTGGCTGACCTCTCCAGGCCCAGCAGGAGGCTTCTGATGACACAGGAGACCCCCTCCCCAGAGCCGCCTTCCAGGATCACAGAGGCTGAGGCTGCATAAAGGCCCTGGGGGTCTGCAGCCTCAGGTGCTGCCTCCGAGGGCAAGCTCTGTCCCCTGGCGTCTCTCCACTGGATCTGGGGCTACGGGTACCAGCCGGCAGACGTGCAGTTCACACGGATCCCTCCAGCCTCGTAGCCCTTCATGTCAATGTGGGGATCAGAGCCCAGCGCTGGGGAGGAGAAGTGAGCTGAATTGTGGGGAGCCCCCTGTACTGGTGGGGTCTCCACAGCAGGGAGGGGCGCCCACACTGACGAGCCCAGCAGGGACTCACCAGGAGCTGCTCCCAGCGTGTGCTGTGCAGCAGAGACTGATCCCCGATGGGGCCACTGCCTGACCCTGGCTGGACCCTCGTGCTGGATCCAGGGGGCTCTGGGCCAGAGCAGAGGCTGCTTCCCCCAAGTCCCCTTAGAGACTGCCGCAGCCTCCCCTCCCCCCTGCCCCAGACAGGCTGGTCCCTGGCACAGCCCCTCACCCCTCCCTGGGCAAGCATGCAGGTGGTGCCCCTCAGCCTAAGTGGGTTGTACACCATTGTCCCTGCCTGTCCTGTGGGGGCCGTGCCCTCCCGAGAGTAGGAGGAGATACACCGTGTCCTGCAGCCACCCGAGCGGTGACTCGTATGCACGGCCCCTCGGGAGGCTCTTGCTGTCCTCACTGTCGGGCTGCTGGGCTCTCCCTCCAGGGTCTCCCCCCGGAAGTGTCCCCAGTGAGGCTGTGCAGAGGGGAACCTTTCCCACGGAGACAGCGGACACAGGGCCAGGAAGTGGGGAGTTACTGCCACCTGTCCCCACGCCCCTGAACACACGGAGGGGGAGGCAGCCCTCTGAGGACCTGAACACACAGAGTCCTGTAGGACGGCTCCGGCAGGGGAGCCGAGGTCTCCAGGAAGGGACAGCAGGCTCAGGAGGAACCCTAATGGGGAGAAGACCAGGGGGCCACACCGTCCCTGTTCCACCAACCCCCCCGCACTCATAGCGACAGGGCAGGGCTGTGTCCACAGAACTTGAACTGCAGCCCTGACGCCCGGACACTGGCACGTTCGTGGGGCAGCACCTCAGACAAGGCGCTTCGTCACTGGGGTGGGTCAGGGCCACATCAAGGCCACTCAAGGGTGGGGTGACAGCACAGAGGAATCAGGAACCGTGTGCAGTGACCCACCTTCCTGTGCCGGCTGTGAGTGACCAGTGACACCCGCACCATCCTGACTGAGTCCCACCCAGAGCCCAGCGCTGCTTCCACACCCCCCCAAACCGCACCACGTCCTCCCTGACGCCCCCTCTCTGAGACACCCCGGTGTCCCCGTCCCCAGGGGAGCGTCCTCCCTCACTGCACAGAGGACGTCACAACCTGTGCAACTGCAGCTGTGTTCCCGGGGGTTTGGTGGGGGACCTGGGCCCCACAGGTGTTGTCCCTGCACCTCAGCCTCCTGGACCCACCACAGCGGGCCCCTGGGGGTCGCAGAGCCACAGTGTGGAACACTCTGAACCCAAACACCCACGTGCCACCCACTGCGGGGAGGTGTCTTCCTCCTTCCCGTCCCTGACCTCCACTCCCCTCTGAGACTGGTGGGCAGCATGGGGGACTCTGTACTGGGTGCAGGAGGAAGTCACCCTGGGGGACACCTGGGTGTGTCACGGGCCTCAGAGGAGCAGAGATGAAGGCGGGGGGGCGGATGCTGGTGAGCAGCCCACGTGCTCTGGGGTAGGTCTGCAGCCTCTGCCCCCGCCCAGGGAAAGGAGCCTGGAACAAGCCTGAGGCTCACCTGCCACCTGCAGCTCCACCTGGGCTTCTGCATAGAAGCCTCCATCTCGGAAATAACACAGGTAGGTTCCGTTGTCTGAGACGCTGACGTTGCGAATCCGAAGAGCGGCCTTCCCCACAGTGACGTCCTCTCGTAAAATCGAAGTTCTCCCTCGATACTCCTCTGCCAGCGTCTCCTCCTGCCCGTGCTTGTACCTGTACACTACCTGCCTGCGGCTGAGTCTTGCCCATGTCAGCTCCATGTTCTCAGCGCTCATCTCCGGGGACAGGTGACAGGGCAGGTCTGCGTCTTCACCCACCATGGCCAGGATGGGCTCGGGGGGTCCGACCACAGCAAACTCAGCTGGTCATCAGAAGACGGGGTTTGTCACAGGGAGCTGGGGCTGAGGGGGTGTCCCAGGCAGGGAGGGTGAGGTGACAGACACCTAGATATGAACTCAGTCCTCACACAGGTGTGGTGTGGACGGGTCTTGCAGGGGTGGGCGGAGTCCCGGGTTCTGGCTGGGCCCGAAGGGAAAGGATTCACACACACAGACACACAGCCGGTCCTACCTGAGCAGGGGCTGAGCAGCTGGACCACGGCGAGGCACACAGGGAGGGCAGGCAGTCGGGGCACCAGGCACCTCCCCATCCTGACCTGCTGTGCACACAGAGAGGCCAGCAGGGGCTGGGCAGCAGGGACCACCTGGAAGGAGGAGGAGGGTTCCACGTGGAGAGGCTGCCTCCCCAGGGCTGACCCGGGCACCACCGCCATCACTGGGTACACAAGAGCCTCTTCTGCAAATGTTCCCTGGGGGTCTCTTCTCCTTGGATCCCTCCATGGAAATCAGCCATGAAATATGGGGCAGTAATGTACATACCTTGTCTCTCTCCAGCAGGGAGCACTGGGCTCTCCTGTGGGAACCTGCTCAGAAGCCCCCCAGTGGCTCACACTTCCCTGCCCCAGCCAGGTGCCCGCCCCCTGCACCACCCTCTGAGGAAGGCAGACCCCTCTGCTGAGTCCAGGATCCCACTGCTGCCCCCTGCAGGCCGCGCTCCGCACAGCAGGCAGCACATCCTGCCCCCTCACCTCCCTCCTGCTCAGCCCCTCCCACGGGGTCCCCTGTCACCCAGGGCAGAAGCCCAGGATCTTTGCACCCTGTGCTTTAAATTGTCTGAAAGTTCTAAAGTCTAAAAGTGTCCGAGTGGGGGATATATGTCTACATATTTTGAAGGCATTTATTGTTTTTCATTCCTATCACAGACCATTTTAAAATAGAAAGCATAAAGCAATGAAATTTAGATAAATTAGAATGGTAATTACATCCTGTGTTGCACGTGAAGGTGAACTCCTGTGGATGCATTTGGCCACATGTACTCAAGGGGCAACTCAAAAAGAGAATCTATTTATATAAACTGTTTTTATTCTCACACCTTTGCCTTCAGTCACCCTCACATGCTCCCCCCTGGATGGGGACACCCGTGGGGACGTCCCTCCACCGCCCTGAACACTCTCTGGACTCAGCAGCTCTGATGCCTCTTAGTGCTTCTGCTGTTTTGTTTCACATCTTACACGTCGGGATGTTTCTGTTTGTGGACTTTTTTCGCCCAGGAAAGAAAAATAGTCGCTCTGGGTGAGATCGGGGGAATAGGGATGGTGGGAAACGCAGGTTTGGTCAAAAATTGCTCAATATTCTGCAGGTATGGACAGGTGGGCTGGTAAATTACCTGTCAGGAAATGGGCCAGTGCTCTGGAAGAGTCCTCAAAAAAATGCAGTGAAACCCAAAGCCACCTCTCACCACAACCCCAGCTGGTCACTGATGCAGATGGGCTTCTAGAACTCTTGCCTAGAGGGGGGAGTCTGGACTATAAGGGACATACCCTCCAGAAGGTAGTTCCTGTTTGTTTGTTTTTTCATTTTTGGTTTTGTCCCTCCAGGTATACCAAATGTCCTGAAAAAGTTTTATCATTAGCCCCACAGATTACATTGGCAGGAATTGCTTTTAAAGAGAAACTGGCATTAACACAAAAATTCACATTTAATGCTGTTCATTATAGTAAAATCTACAAGAGCACAGTGTATAAATTGCATCCAATTTTATAATTTTTTTAAAGATTTATTTATTTACTTTAGAGAGGGAAGGGAGGGAAAAAGAGAGAGAGAAGCATCAATGTGTGGTTGCTGGGGGCTGTGGCCTCCAACCCAGGCATGTTCCCTGACTGGGAATTGAACTTGTGATGCTTTGGTTCCCAGCCCACGCTCAATCCACTGAGGTACGCCAGCCAGGGCTGTGTTATAATTATTAATAAAAATGTGTTATTAAAAACATAATTCCTTCCCTGGCTGGTATGGCTCAGTGGACCGAGCGCTGGACTGGGAAGGAAACGTTCGCTAGTTTGATTCCTGGTCAGGGCACAGGCCTGGGTTGAGGGCCAGGTCCTCAGTAGGAGGCGCATAAGAGGCAACCACATACTGATGTCTCTCTACTTGTCTTTCTCCCTTCCTTCCACTTTTTCTAAAAATAAATAAAATCTTTTAAAAAAACGTAATTCCTAGACACACCATGACACAACATGCAATGGTGAGAAGCTGAAAGCTCCCTCTGTCCGATCAGGAGGAAGACAGACGCCCACCCTCACCACCCCCCGCACCAGAGCACTGGGAGTCCGAGCAACAGTGGTCACGGGAGACAGAGACAAACAGCAAGCACATCCGAGGGAGGAGGAGCCTTCGCACTGCCCGCAGACGGCAGGACGCGGTACGTAGGACCGTTTGAGGACCCACCAAATCCCATGAGAACATGGAAATGAAGGCAGTGAGGTCGCAGGACACAACGTGGACACCAGGTGCACTTCCGTGCAGCAGCGACAGGTAACCAGAGGGAGGTGTCGTCAGCCCCTCATGCGGTTGCGTCCGAAAGCAGAAACCACCCGGGAACAAGGTCAACCAGAGAGCGGACAGCCTGCGCCCTGCCGGCTGGAGGAACCGAGAAAGGAGACGAAGAGGGGACACCCGACGGGGGACACCGTGAGCTCAGGGTCGGCAGGAGCAACACTGTCACCCCGTCCTCGCTGCCCAAAGTGAAGTGCAGACTCAGGCTGTCCCTGTTGAAATGCTGATGGCCTTCTCCTCAGAAGGACAATAAGGAATCCTGAAATATATTTATTTTAAATCCCTTTCGGTTTATTCGTCACTCAGGCAGACATGTCAGGAGGGAGTCTGCCGCCTTTCTAACTGGCCTGACCCCTGCTCGGATATAAGCTGCCCCCCCCAGTGAAGGGGACTGTGGTCTGGGTAACTGCCCCAGTGGCAGGAGCACTGGGTGGGAAGCTGGCAGAACCTGAGCCTCCTCCGCAGACTGTGGGGGACCCAGAGGTGCGTGGTGAACCCATGTGTTCCTCTGTTGACAGCGGCCCTGAATCCCGGGGGCCTCAGGGGGACCCTTTCACCACAGACACATGTCATCCTCATAGACACCCATCCTGGCAGCCTGCTCACCCTCTTCACCTGTGACACCCACACTTGGGGTGATTCCTAGGAGCAAGGTGGTTGCAGGGTGGGATGGAGAAACCAAAGGACCCCCACGTGTCACTGGGCCCACTCACCTTCTCGGCACTCGGCACATAGCGTCTTCTGGTTGCAGTGGGCGGTGAAGCAGCGACGGTCGCATAGTCTCCACTGAATGATGGGGACCAGGTCCCAATCTCTCCTGACATAGGAGCCTGTGATTGGGGGCACACAGAGGTGAGGCTGTGAAGGGGGCCCACAGAGGTGATGGTGGGGCCCAGGGCACAGACCCCACCTGGTCGCTGCAGCCTCTGCCTGACGAGATGCCACAGCACCTGACAGCGGTGCGCAGCACAGCACCAACCCTCAGCTCCTGTCCCCTTCGGACATTCCGGACTCATCCCCGGCTCCATGTGTCCCAGGGACTGGGGACGCGACTCACCCTCGGCTCTTCCCAACATGCTGCAGCTTCGGGAAGAGGGGTGCTGAGTGTGCACCCCAGGTGCACTCTGCAGCTTCTGTGTCAGGGCTCAGGGGAACCCAGGTCATCCATAAATGGAAGTCCGCCCTGTCCCACCGGAGTTGATTTTTAGTAAATAAAAGACTGGCTTCTGACTTCCAGCAAGATGGAGACATAGGTGGATGCACCGTACCTCCATGCACAACCAAGATTGGAACAACAACAATTTAGAGGCAGAATAACACCCAGAACTGATAGAGGATTTATCTGAATGGAAGTCGGACAGCCAAGAAGTTGAAGTACACCCGTTCATCCAGACCGGTGGGAGGGGCGGAGACAAGCAGCCAGGCTCGGGTCACGGTGCGGAAAGCAGAGAGAGTTGGGAGCATAAGGTATCCGGGGGCGTGTAAGGCCTCTGAGGCACGCAAGATCGCAGTGGGTGGACCCTGAGTACGCAAGCGGCAGCTGGCAGACCCAGTGAGGCGGCGACTGTGGAGCAGGGCAGAGTGAGCAACCCAGGATCCCAGGGAAGAAACTGAGGTCCCACGGAGAATGGAGCAACCTCCATTGTTCCCTCTTGACCCCATCCCCACATACAAAGTCATAATCTAGTGACTGGGGTGCCCAGCCCTGGTGAACACCTAAGGCTCTGCCCAGACCAAAAAAGAGAGAGAGAGAGAGAGAGAGATGGCTCAAACAGAAGAACAAATCAATGCCCCAGGACTCATCCTTTTAAGTGACCAAGAGATAGCTAACCTATCAAATGCACAGCTTAAAACACTGGTGATCAGGAAGCTCACAGAATTGGTTGATTTTGGTCGCAAATTAGATGAACAAATGCAGGTTACCATAAAAGAAATGAAGGAAAGTGCACAGGGAGCCAATAGTGATGGGAAGGAAACTGGTACTCAAAACAATAGAGTGGACCAAAAGGAAGAAAGAAACAATCAAACAGGAACGAATGGAGAAATAAGAATTCAAAAAAACGAGAAGCTTAGGAACCTCCAGGACATCTTTAAACGTTCCAACATCCAAATTACAGGGGTACCAGAAGGGGAAGAGGAAGAGCAACAGATTGAAAACATATTTGAACAAATAATAAAGGAGAACTTCCCCAATCTGGCAAAGGAAATAGACTTCCAGGAAGTCCAGGAAGCTCAGAGAGTCCCAAAGAATTTGGACCCAAGAAGAAACATATAAAAGCACATCATAATTACATTAGCCAAAATTAAAATGAAAGAGAGATTCCTAAAAGCAGCAAGAGATAAGGGGACAATAACCTACAAAGGAGTTCCCATCAGACTGTCAGCTGATTTCTCAAAAGAGACTTTGCAGACAAGAAAGGGCTGGAAAGAAGTATTCCAAGTCATGAAAGACAAGGACCTACATCCCAGATTGCTCTATCCAGTGAAGCTTTCATTTAGAATGGAAGGGCAGATAAAGTGCTTCTCAGATAAGATCAAGTTAAAGGAGTTCATCATCACCAAGCCCTTATTATATGAAATGTTGAAGGGACTTATCTAAGAAAAGATTTAAAAAACATGTATAGTAAAAGGTCAGCAAACTCACGATTATTAACAACCACACCTAAAGCAAAACCAAAAGAAACTAAGCAAACAACTAGAACAGGAACAGAACCACAGAAATGGAGATCACATGGAGGGTTATCAGCAGGGGAGTGGGAGGAGGAGAGAGGGGGAAAAGGGACAGAGAATAAGTAGCATAGATGGTAGGGAGAAAATAGACAGGGGTAAGGCAAGAATAGTATGGGAAATGTAGAAGCTAAAGAACTTATAAGTATGACCCATGGACTTGAACTGAAGGGGGGGATGTGGGTGGGAGAGGGTGTACAGGGTGGAGGGGGGGAAGGGGGGAAATGGGACAACTGTAATAGCATAATCAATAAAATATATTTTAAAAAAAGAAAAAAAAAGATTGGCTTCTTAAATGTCCACCCATTCCCGAAAGGGGTGGATTTGGTTTTGGCAACACCAGCAACCTTGCCCCAAAGTCCCAGACTCTGGTCCCTGCTCCTCTCGCTGCAGTCCCACCCACACGCCCTGGGCTGGGAGCCACCGCTCCTCCCACCCGCAGCCCCGCCCCCACGCCCTGGGGTTGCAGCCGCTGCTACTACCCACCCCCACCCGCCTCTGGTCCGGAAGGGGAAGTGTTGTGTTCCCCCACACTTTCTGTACAGTCAGGGCTCCATGGAGGCCCGGGCAGAACGTGGACAGTCTCCAGTCTCCCCAGAAACCCGTGGACCCACCTCAGGTCCCACCTCGCCATCGCGACCTGCACTGGGCCCGCACCACGCGGGCCGGTGTCTGTGCCGGCGTGCTAGGAACCGGGGCACGAGGGGACGCGGTCTTGTGTTCCTCACCCCCCCACCCCCCGCCTCTCCGGTAGAGAATCTGGGGTCCGCAGGAGTGGGAAGCGGGGCCGCCCCTGAGCTGGGAGAATTCCCACCCTGAGCCGCTGGGACCCCGGTACGCGGGGGCGGCGGCGGGGGGGGGCGCAGAAGGGAAAGCGGCAGGATTCCTCCTGCCCCACCCGGCCCCAGCCCGGCTCAGAGCTCTCACGTTGCCCGCCGTGTTGTCCAGCCCCGGGCTGCACCCCCCGCTCCCCCCACAGCCCCCGCTGTCGGGGTCTGCCCTCCCCAGCGCCGCGCACCCACCCGCGCCCCCGACGGGGAGCGGCGGCAAAGTCGGGAGCGGGGAGCGCAGAGACCGGAGCGAGCCCCGCTCGGGAGCAGCGGCGGAGCCGGCGCCGGAGTTTCACTCACGCCGCGGCCCGCGCGGGTCCTCCGGGCCGGCCAGCGGCAGCGGAAACCCCAGACGGGTCTCGGGACCGCCTGGCTGCACGAGGGGGCCTTCGGCAGGACTCTACCCCTCATGGACGACGCAATTACCGCGTTTCTTCCCACCTAGCTTCTCGCGAGGAGCGCACCGGGCTCCCAGGGAGTCCCCTGGAGCCAGGACAAGGACATGCTGAAAAAGCCTCACCGTTCAGACGGCCGAAGGGCCGATCGTCCCTGAGCCCAGGGGCCTCGATCCCAGGGGATCGGCGTAGAAGCACCGTGACGGCTGCCGGGCTGCTCCTTTTCGGGGCGGCTCCGGGTGGGGGAGGGTCGCCAGCCTGGAGAACCCGGAAGACCCCGCAGAGGCCCCGCCCCGTCCTCCCGCCGCGCCCGGACCGCCCCCAGCCCCGGCTGTCACTCCCTCTCCTCCAGGGGCTCCGACGCGGAGCGCGCCCCCCTGGGCACCCCACTGGACACGGGCTGGAATCCTCCGTCTTTTGGCTTCTTGACGTAGGCAACGATGATGATGACGGTGATGCCCAGACAAACACGAGGAAGATGAAACAGCTCGCGACCAAACCACCGCTGTCTGCGCTCTGGCGTCGGGAAAAATAGGAAATGTCACAGTAAAGTCACACGCTGACAGAGTTTCCAGCAGCCATGAGACCGAATACAGACAGACCGACCCCACGAGCGCTCGTGAAGGACGTGAAAGCCCTCTGTCAGGGCACCTGCGCCCCGCCTCCACGGCAGCACCGCTCACGAGAGGGAGACACGGACCCCCTCAGTGAGATGCACAGACAGACAGATGGACAGAGAGGCCGCGTGTGCACAGACACACGCACACACACCCACTGGAACCCGTCACCACGGGAAGGAGGACCTCTGCCATCGGAGGACTGTGGACACACGTGGGGACTGGGGCTCCCTGAGGCACTGAGACAGAGACACCCCCAGATGACTCCATGTCACGTGCACCCCAAACACCACCCAACGTCATGAGACGTCCCCTCTGACCCTCTAGGGGTTCTGTCATCTTCAGACCGTGCAGGTGGGTCTTTGGTTCATTGTGAGTTAGTTTCTGCGTCTGCTGTGACGTGAGGGTCCAACTCCTCCTGGGCCTGGGGACATCCAGGGTCACCAACACTAACCACTGACTGAAAAGCTGTCCTTGTCATAGAGCAGTTGGGGCTCCGGGTCTGTTTGTTTAAAAATGTCCCCGAGTCCCTGAGCAGGAGAGTGAACACCACCACAGGTGTCTGTCTGTACCTACATCTGAGTGACCCTCAGCTACACAGAGAGGTGACGCCCTGGCAGGTCCCACTGTGACCCAAGGGCTGCGGACACCAGCCTGAAGGAGACAAGCCGAGCACACAAGGTCACATGTCACTGGATTCTGTGTCTGTGACCCGTCCTGAACAGGGGGTTCAGTCCCAGAAAGTAACTCAGGGTTGCTGGGGGCTGGGGGGAGGGGCGCGCTGCTGGTCCCAGGGCTGATGGGAAGGAGCGGGAACAGCACTGCCCCCCCCGTCAGACGGCTCCCCCGGGTCACGGGGTCTGCTCTCCTCAGACAGACCCCTTAACAACAGGACCCCCTCTCACCTGGACCGGGCAGGCCGCACACCGTGTCCGCTGTGGAGTTGCACTGCTGCAGGACCACTGTCTCCTCAGGACACCTGGGGGTGAGGGGGACACAGCTTCCCTGTTCCTGCCTCCACGTCTCTCCAGCCCCAGGCTCCCGGGTCCGCACTGTCACCAACAGAAGGTGTCTCCGTGGGGCGCTCCCCCAGCCCACTTTGGGGAGCACTGTGTGCTGTGATCACAGACCCCACGAGGGGCCCGGGGTCACAGGAAGCCCCAGCCTCACCCCAGAACCAGCCCTGGTCCCACAAGGAGGACAGTTGACCTGTTTCCCCAAGATGGACGTCCATGGCCTTGTGTGTGGGCCTGGGAGCTGGAGGGGAGGGGTCCGTCCTGCTTTAACAAAGGCTGGGGCCGCAGCTGCTCCCTCCTCCCTGTTGCCAGCAGAGGGCGCACCGTCAGTGCGGCGCGTTCTGACGTCCTGGGCAGGTTCGCTCACGCCCGGGGCAGCGACTCACTCGCTGAGGACCCCGTGTGGGTGCGCTCGCGCCCCAACCCCCACCCCTCGCACTGCACAGTAGGGTGGCACCCGTCCAGGACTCTCGGTCACCGGCCCCATGCTTCCTCCACCCCCGGGTCCCCACCTTCTTTCTGGGGAGCTCGGGGCTTATTCTTGGACCCCAAACTCCAGATCTCAAAGGGAAAAACGCTGCAGACCCCTCCAGGTTCCACAGCGTTTAGGAACCGAAAGCCCATCCAGCCTGTCCCTTTGCTGTGCTGTCACCGAATGCAGCCTCAGAGAGGCCGGACAGGCAAGTCCTGGACCCCCAGACACCGTCGTTCCCCTGGGGTGAGGTGTCGGGCACTCGGTCAGCCACCTGGGTGACCGTGGCTGACGGAGGACACTGGTGCCATGACCCAGGACTCTGCACACAGACGGCCAGCAGTCGAGAGGACAGAATAAATGTTTCTGAAAGATCCACTGACCTGAAGGCACCTGTTCCCAGGAGGGGAGGTCAGGACCCTCCAGCAAAGCAAAGGAGGGACCCAGACAGGGGGAGGCGGGGGGTGGAGCCCAGGAGGGGGGAAGGGGAGGCCCTGCCTGGGCTGCTGGGCACAGACTTGAGCTGGGGCCTCAGCTGGGGACCAGGGAGGGACACAAGCACCAGGAATATAAGGAACACGAGGCTGAGGGGGAGCCCCCACAGTCCACTGTGACCCTGCCCACAGCACCCATCAAAGTCACCTACGTGCTACACCCCGTGCAGAATTCCTCGTCGCCAGGGGCTTTGTAGAAACGGCCTGGTCGGCACTGGCACCTCGTGTTGCTGGTGGCAGTGCACTCGGCCGCCTCGTCTTGGTCTGCAGTTCAGGAAAGCCTGCGTCAGTCCTGGGGGACCCGCCCTGCCCTCGTGCACAGGGGCGCCTGCGCGGGATTTGGGCTGGAGACCCTATGGCCGGGACGGAGCTCAGCCTGCCACAGCGGGGACCCTGAGCCAGTCCGAGGGTTCGTGTAACCCTGCGGGGGATGCCTCTGCCACCTGGTCCCACACCTGTGTCCTTAGGGCCGATGCCCGGAGCCGGGGCGCTGGTGCAGGAACAGGGTCACACGGACACAGTTTGAACCACAGTCTCAAAATGCCGCCCACAGGGAGTTTCTTTAAAAAAAAAAACAGCTCACTTCCCTGACTGTGTCTTCACCAATACCGGGTTTCTACCTTTGTGGCTGCAAAAAAAATGTGTGTTTTTCCTGTGGGGTTGGCCACTTGTAAAGCGTGTGTACGGAATCCGTGCCCACAGGAATGCTGAGGTTTCAGGTGTCACACGCAGCAGACCCCAGAGGGGAGGTCACTGTCGTCTGACTCTGAGCGAGGGAAGAATCCGGCCTCCGCCACACGCGGGGTGTCAGGGCAGCAGGGCGGGTGGGGAGAATCTCCACCTCACTCTCTGCAGGTGAACCACAGGAGACATTTTCAAAGGACAACGGGGTGACGGTCCGACCGAGTGTGGACTGGTGTTGGGGGTCACTGCTGGTTCCCCTGGGTGGGTGATGCACCCCTGGTGTGTGTAGGAAGTGTGGGAGGTGGTGTGCTGGGGTGAAACACGGTAACATCTGCAGGTGACTGGGAAGGTTCTCACACCCTCGTATACAAACAAAAAACACACTTATGCACACGCATGCACACAAATGCACTTGTGCACACACACTCGTCCATGCTTGCACACACACACACACAGGTGATCAAACAGCGCCAACTGTTAAATGGTCGGTGGCCTCCGTTCTACCCTGTCCCGTCCCCACCAGTGTGGAAGGGGCTGGTGACACGCAGTACATCATCCTGACTCCCTGAGGGGTGACGCTGACCCTGTTGCCTCTTCGTGTGCGTGTGCGTGGGATTTCCCAGTTTCCCACATCGGACTGAGCACCTTCCCATGTGAACACGCTGACTGAGGATAGACACGGGGCTGAGATTGTGGAACCGGAGTGGCTCTCTGGGTCCTGTCACTTTCCTGCTGTCACACTAGCTGGGGGCTGATGTGGGAGCTGACGGACGTCTCCAGCCGCGTCTCTGCGGGGCTGTGAGCTCCGCACTGCGGGACCAGGACGTCCCTCCTTCACCCGAAGGCCCTGCTTTCTCCTCACGTTTCTGGGCTGCACTGTGACCGTCCCTGTGGCCAAGTCCTGAGGCCCCACGTGAAGGTCCGGCCCTGGCAGGGTCAAGGAGCTTCATGGGTCATGGTCAGGCAAGGTGCCTGTGGGAGACTCACCTGGGAGCAGGTGCCACACAGCAGGCAGGACACCAGGCCGTTGGGAAATGCCATGAACGTGCCTCTGTCACACTTGTCTCACTGTCCCTGGGTGTGGGGGCTGCTGCAGGCTTCACGGAGATGCTCCCCTGTACAGGAGGTGGGCGCTGTGGTCAGACCCCTCCAGGTATGTGGGGCGTCCCTGCTGTGCGGCCTGCCCACGCCATCCTGGGGGCAGCCCCGCCAGTGGGAACAGGGAAACACTTCTGTCTGCAGTTTCGGATAAAAGTGACCTCTGGACGTCACATCTTCTTTGACATGAGGAAGCACAGACCGCCCGAGATCCCACCTCGGCCTCCTGTCCCTGCACTGCACCCGCCCCTCTGATAGCTGTGCTGTGGGCTCCACAGGGACCCTGACCCCAAATCAACAGACACTGAGGACCCCGAGGATGCGCCTCTTGTCCAGGGTCAGGGAAGGCAGCAGGACCACGTCCCAGCACTCCGCCTCCCAGCCAGGACCACCACAAGCTGCCCCACCTGATCCTGGAGCAAGACCTCTGCCTGGGGGCCCAGGCTCAGCCTCCTGCAATGTTCCCCCCAGTTCCCACCCACAGGGGACAGAAACTTTGTAGAGGACTCAGGAGCACCTCACTGGGCCTGCTTGTTGCTGTCACCTTCCCTGAGAACAGACAGGGTTTCTTTCTAGAAGGTGTCCCTGTGGGTGGTCCCCGTCAGCTGGCACACAACGGGAGACATTTCCGGACTGCTCACCCATCCTGTGCCCTGTGCAGCGGAGGGTGGTTCCCTGAGCTCTGCCCATGTCTCATATCAGTGAATCCCTGTGTCCCCCTCAAGAGGCAGGGGCTGT